AAGGCCTGGGGGAGACCTTTCAGCGGTGAGGCAAAGGGGACGGGGGGTTCCTCCCGCCTTGTGGAAGAGAGCGTCTCGAACCGTTGAAACAAGTCACTGGACAAACAGAAATGGCTTTTTGCAATCCCGGCACGTCTTCCCAAGGCCTGGGGAGGGGGGAGGCAGGGCAGGGGCAAATTGGCCGGCTTCACGCAACCAGCCTGGCTCCCGGAGTTTGTAAGGGCTCCATCGCTGGAGGCTTTCAAAGACTGGACAGCGGCTTGTTGGGGACGGCCTGAGGATTCCTGGACTAGCAGACCTCAGAGGTCCCTTCCAGCCTGAGGACTCTGTGACCCTCTGGGTCGCTGAGGCAAACCTAGAAAACCTACGAGCTGAGGAACTGAATGAAGGATGGGGTGCGACTGTAAATACGCCCCTGGCGTTTTGGTCAAATTGAGAAGGACTGCTGCGCTGTAAATCAGGGCCACCTCCATCTTAGTCTGCCTTTTCCTTACGACAACCCTGTACGGTAGGCCAGGAGGAAAGTTAGTGACTCCCTGGACCAGTTCATGCAGTTCTCTTGGCAACCATAAGGAACTGGTTTGCCATTGCTTTCTTCGGGTAGAAGGTGGCCGCCCCTCTAAATACAGGTACTCGACTTATGACCACAATTGGGACTGGAACTTCCATCGCTAAGCAGTGTGGTCGCTAAGTGAGTCGCACCCAATTTTATGACCATTTTTGCCACAGTTGTTAAGCGAATGCAGCTTCCCCCACTGACTTTGCTTGTCAGAAGCTGGTTGGGAAGGTTGCAAACGGCAATCACATGACCCCGGGATGCTGCAACCATTGTAAATGCGTGATGGTTGCTGAGTGCCCGAATCACAAACATGTGACTGCAAGGATGCTGTGACAGTCGTAACTGCGAGGACCTGTCATAAGCCACTTTTTTAGCATTGTCGTAACCTCAAGCGGTTGCTGAACAAATGGTCATTAAATTGAGGACTGCCTGTACTAACCAGAGATCTGCTACCTGCCACTGACGTTGAGTATGGATTTTCCTACACCGCGACAGCCCTAGGGTACCAGAACTGTGGTCAAACATTGGGACAGACCGTCCGTACCCTGGTTTAATTTTTCCTAACTCTTTCCTAGGGAGAGTGCAAAGCTTGCTGGGCCTTTGCAGCCGTGTCCAACATAGAAGCATTGTGGAAGATTAACCAAAATATCCAGCGCAGCCTCTCGGTGCAAGGTATGCTGGATATTGGAAAGGGGGGGGGGGAGATGAGAAGGGAGGGGGTAGTTCCATCAGGGCTGAAGCACCCTTTTCTTAAACTCAGATTGGGCAGTGGGGGCAGGTTGGGGGCAGAGGGGTGGAGGAATTTTGAACTGGGGGATCAAGTCCAACAAGACAATTCTCTCCCGTATCATCTTTTTTTCTTTCATTCCAGAACTCATTGACTGCACGTACCCTTCCAGAGGAGGGTGTATGGGTGGCTATGTTTGGGACGCGCTTCTTTATGTCTTCAACAACAGTATGTAGACACCCCACGACGTCCAATTTGTTGCATTCTTTTGTTGTAGGGGTTATGTGCGTTCACACAACCATTCCCCTCATTGGACTCCAGGCTCTGGTTGCTTAGCCCACGTTGGGTCCTCACAACAACCCAGCAAGGTGGGCTTTCCCCGAGCAGGTGGGTGAGCCGAACTTGGAGGCGGAGATGTTTTACGAAAGGCTCGGCTTGTTTGCAGCAGCGGCCGAAGGTGGGTTTTCCCGGAGCAGTTGCGCAGCAGCAAGCTCAGTTTGGTTAGCGAATTCATCCATTTGAGGGGTTCGCGCCGTGGCTCGGATCGGAAAGAAACAGAACAAGCCGGGTTGGCGCCCCTCGAGAAGCCACAAAAAACGTAATCAGCATTTGCAAGTGGCATGGCACAGCTTTCACGTACGTGATTTGAAGCAAGTTGTGCAAACTTTTTTACCAGTTTCCTTTGCAACGGCTCCAGATTTTGAAGATCTCAGGATGAGAGGTAGCATCATCAAATCATCACAACGTCCCTCCGCGTGCGAACCTGTCACAACTTGGTTCAGATCGTGGTTTGGTTAACCATGGTTTATTAAACCAGCCACTGTTGGCTGGGTTTGCACAGTGGATCGAGCCACGTAAACCTATTTTCAAGGCCCAGGGATCACATAATAGGGAAGGTGGATGGCCATTGTTTCTCAGGAACGCAGTGGTTATACTCTCTCAGTTGATCTGCCTTTTCTGCTGGAAAGTCAGAAAGCGATTCAGATGAAGCCAACTTCCACTTTGCTATCAAGAAAACAAGAAAGATCTGTCCTTGCAATCACCAAGAACTGGGCTCAGCTTTTATTTGAGAATCACTGGGAGTTGGGTGGCATATAAATTTAATAAATTATTATTATTATTGTCGTTGTTCTTTATTATTTATTGAAAAAATAATCTGGATCGTCATTGTTAAAACAGTTTCAAAGCAGGGGACTGTCATTTAAATGCTGAGGTTAGGAAAATTACTAAATAATAATAACACTTAGAGATTTTTTTTTTGGAAGTCTTTCTCATGCACCCTGTTCGTGAACCACCATGCATTTCTTCTCCAGCCGGATTGTCGTCAAGCACCCTCTATCCCTACATTGAGAAAGACCAGCCCTGCAGAAAACACAAGGGGCGAAAGCTAACCAAGATTGATGGTTACAGTGTACTTCCAAGGGATGAGAAATGTAAGTGTTCCGCAAAGGGCTGGATTAAGTCTTCTGAATTATAAGGATCTTGAGGCACCCGAAAGATGAGCAGGTTGACTAAAGATAGAAGAACGTCGGGACTTTTTGCGGAGGGAAAAATTGGAGCCAGAACAAACACATTTGTCTGCAACCAGCCACAAGACTTTTTTGGGGGGTTCCCCAAACCTGCTTAAACTCAGTTAAGGAAATGCAAGGGGTGCATTTATGTGATGCCCAAGCCAACAAACCACATTATGGCTTAATAATGGCCTGGTTCAGACAATGTACTGAACCATAAACTACCTGCTCTCATTTAGCACCCTAACCCTTTATTTCTGCAAATCCAGCCTGTTGGCTTAACTTGTTGTTCAGTGTGTTGTGCAAATCCTGAATATGGATTCATTCACCCACCAGGTCAAATGGGTTGTGTGAATGCTGTCACTGCACGATTCTCTTCCAGTAAATCAATTATTTTGTATTCTTAGGACCATGAGTCAGATTCAGCTGTGGTTAAGAGTGGACGTAAAGTAAAAATTTATGTAGGAAACTACAGGCCTTCTACAGAATAAAGGTGAAATGTTGGTTAGGTGAAAACATCCATTTTCTTTGGCACTGAAAAGGTGGCATGAGTGTTAAATCCATGGGGCTGAATTCATTTTAAAATATTGAGGCTCCTTTGCTGGAAGTCTCTTTCCCTAGCTGAATTTTGGCAAAATTAGCAAACGTCTGGGTGACACAGTACTCTTGGCTGGAGACAGGAGGTACCATCAGCATGGAATTGGGGAGTGACATCTTGTTTCCTTCTCCTGCTCTCAAATGCCTGCAACCAAAGAACTTGGTGTGACTCAGAAACGTCCTTTTCATCCTTTCAGACAATAGCTGGAAATGATTTATCTGTTTTGTTGAATCTGTCCTTTAGGGAAGAAAAAAAATGCTTTGTACGCTCGCAAAAGACAGTTGCTGTGTTGATGTTTCAGGCTGACATTTGGGAGGTGTGGGAGGAGGAACGAATTGAGCTCCAAAATCCTGACTCGCTATTTCAGATCTTGCTTGTCCAGGCTTCCATGTTAACTTCTGATGCTTCCCCCCCACCCCAGATATAGCGGAAGTTGTGGCCTCCCAAGGTCCCGTCACAGCTCTCATGAACAAAAAGTTCTGTCAGGTGAGTGTCAGGTGAAATCAAGGTGGGGAAGGGAAAAAGACTTATTTTATTAGCTATCATACTGTCCAACTCACTGGCTGGATTCTTTTGTGGCTGAATTTGCATAGCGTCCTCAACTGGGTTAGTCGGAACTCAGGTCAGTCCTTGTATGGATGTGTGGCTTAGCATGTTGAGAACCAACGGTGTTTGGGAAATCCAGGTTTAAGGCTGTAGGGATAAAATGGAGAGCCCCTTGTGTCTTGGAGGAATGGTAGGAGGTAACCTAAGAGAAACACTGAAAATCTAGGGCATGGGGTTAGTTTGGGGCTGTTAGGAACACCGAGAAAAGGGGTCAAAACACAGAGGATATGTGTGAATCTTCCTGTTGTAGCTGAGTCCAGAAAGGATGATTAAGAGAAACACAGACCCAGACATCACCGTGATTGGAAGACCATCCCTTTGTTGCTAATTATGATCTGTTCTGATTCTCTCTTTGGGGCAGCACTACCAGAAGGGCATCATGCAGAGGTCCGAGGAGGACTGTGACCCCAACTGGCTTGATCACGCGGTCCTTATTGTTGGCTTTGGGGAAGGTAAGCAGAAGTCTCCTTGGCCGCTGGGATCCCTGTATCCTTGCTCAGTTCTCCATTCAGTCCTCGGGATCCCACAACAGCTGAGAGTTTTGAGACGGGGGTGTATGCAACACCCGCTTGAATGCGGTTGGGTTGTTCGTCTGGGGCCGTGAAGGACTGCATTCCCCCAGGATTCTAACTTTGGTTAATCAGAACCAGAGTTAGTTCATATATGGGTGCGAGAGAGACAGAGTTAGCCTACTGTGTGAATCCCACCTCTTGGTTTCGTGGGCGATGCAATGTGATGAATGCAAAACCTGGGTTCGTTTGAACTGCGTTGCGTTGCGTGAAACTCCAGTCACGTTTTGTTAGCGAGACTTAACTTGTTAACCGGGGTTCAGTGTATTGTGCAAACCTAGCCAAGGCGAAATTTTTAACCAGGGGAGCCTCACAAATGACTGTTGAAAGGGGGGGTATATGTTGGCATTGCTTTATAACCCAATGTCAGCTTGATTCATGCCGTGCATTAAACCGCAAAAGTTCTTGGTGGTGTTTTATTGTTGCATTTGGCTTAATGTCGTCTGAATCTAGCCACCGGGTTCTGCAAACCGTATTTTCTGGCTAGTATGTTGTGTAGTCAATAAACTCTGATTATGATGAGTTGTTTTCTCCAAAGCCTCCTGAGTGAAGCAGTGTTTCTCAACCTTGTCAACTTGAAGATGGGGGGACTTCAGCTCCCAGAATTCCCCAG